GTCTCCATGCCCAGTGCCAACTGTCAAGCGTATAAAGCCTCCCAGTGTTGGGCTGTGGAGCAGAGGAACTGTGTACTCTGCCGTGAAGGAGCATCATCCAGTATCTTTGAGACGAGTTGGAGGGCTGTTTGTGAACTAATCATCTAACATGAGTTTTTGACTTCACTAATGTTCTTGTGGCTGAATGCAGTCAAATCTTCACAGCAATGTTCCCACATCTAGTGTCAAGCCAGAAAGGTGGAAAACTCCCTGTTAACAGCCTTGATTTCAGAAGATAAGTTGGATGAGCAGGTATCTACAAACTTTTGGACAGTGTATTTTTTCTTTTGCACATCTACATTATTTTGCTTCAGTGATTCACATATGAATGCCTGCGGCTTTAGTGAGTGTTTATGAGAATCATAACTCATTTGGTGTTATGATGAGAATTGTGATATTTACCGCCTTGCAGCTCCCATACTTGCAACCAAACTGCCATTCGGATCACATTACCTGCAGTGCAATCTGGACAAATGTCTTCAATTACAGGCTTAGTGAGGTAGTAATGATTACCTGGCAAAATCTGTTGTAGAGCACAGATTAGGCCTTTAAAGGAAAATGTTTTGGGGGGAGGGTGGAATCACTGCACTGGAGCTACAAGGCTAATTGTAGTTAACAGGTAATGGAACCTTAAAAGTAAAGTAACCTCAATTATAAAATGGATAGTTCTGACCTTAAAATCTGATTGGCTGAGCTGCATTCCAAGACATTGTAAAGTACTCAATATACACACACCTGTGACCACCTACTTACATAGACTGTGTTTATCAATACATGAAGTAAGACTTAGTTTTGTTTGAACTGAGGAGCTGACAATTTATTTTCTTGACGACTAGGCTAAAAGAGAGCATGATAAACAGGCTAAAATATATCTAACCGGCTAAACCGCTCCCCTATTAATATATTGTTTCAAGTATATACTAAACGATTCACTAAAAACAAACCCTGCCAGTTTGAAAGATATGTTACTTAAATGTCTTATACGTGTCTGTCTTTTGGAAGATTTGCCTTAAGTAGTACTAAACCCAGTGTGGAAAAATCAATATGTGGCATGATTAGCGTAAATTAGCACTATTGTTGTGGGGATACTTCGGTAAGTAAAAACTTGTATGGCAAAGATTTCTGCATTAAATACTGCTATATTATAATATTTTCACTGAGATATGACAACACTTAAAATGTTAATGGAATGACTGCAATACGTCGGGATAGGCAACTGAAAGCTCTTGTCCACCTCTGGCAGTCTGTAGTTGCTTGGTTGCTTGGCATGCCTAAGAACACCCCTTACCCTTAATAAAATCACTGTAATGCACAGTCTCTCATAGCTTATTGCTTTAATTGACTTGCTTATGTGGTTTCTGATACTGTGTGGCATACTGTTCGCTGGATTGGGTAAAAGTACATTGCATAGGTAAAAATGGTGATAGTATTCACGGGCCTCTTTTCCACTGTAGGGCTGAACGGTTCGAGCACAAAGAGTAACCGTTCCAGTGGCACTTCCTCACAAACGTATAGATAAAATTCAGGCATAAGAGTGGCCTCTTTCCCACTGCAGAGCCAAATGGTTCCCATAGCCATATTCTCAGAAATATGGTTCAACACAGGAATGCTTGTAAACCATCGCATGGTTTCCTCGACAGGGTTAGTTAACCATGCTTAAGGGCATGCACCACCGTGTGGTGGGATGACTAAATGAAGTAACTATTCGCTGACTGGTTCTACGTTTGTGACGATATTGTGCTATTTCATATATTTGGAGCATAAAGACTCATATCTGAGAACACTAAGTCAGGTGACAGCTGGAGACTCATTCTGTGGTGTGTGTAGCTATTAGCCTATTAGCCATCACCGTCAACTGTTTCATGGTTCTGATTTGGCAGCACAGCAGATGGAAAAAGAAATCATAACCGGTCTCGCAAATCTGCTCTAGCACAGAATGGCACAATGTGGCTCTACAGTGGAAAAGAGGCCATTTGGAGGCCTGAATTTTGTCTATACTTTTGTTTGTTTTCATAGATAACAGTGTGGTATGTAGTGTCAGAAAGCACATGAGCAATTCTGTTTGAGATTGTTTGTTTTTAGATGCAGTACGCTTCGGAACTGCAATATTTAAAGTTTCTTGTTGGGTCCTTTTTGAGTGCACACACGTTTTTTTGAAGTGGTCTTGTAGCCTTGCCTCAATTTGACAATTTCACACTGACAAGAGCCTGTTGTGCTTTTCCTCTCCACCCAAAGCTAAGACAGAAGGGAGGGGAGATGGCAGTGGACAGGCCGGCGGGACAGACAGCACTACAGTCAGCAAGAGCCCACCAGAAGCCAGTGTGGCAGGATCCGGAGAGGAGGAGAGCAGGCAGGAGCAGAGGGAGATGGTGTCAGAGCAAGATCAGCAGCACACAGCGCAGGGAGAAACATCAGACCAAAGAACTGAAACCTCCTCACCTGAGACTAACATGGACTGACCCCCTGCGCGCAATCTATTTTCTATCATGTCTACCTTTGCCTTGCACGTCAGATTATGTACAAAAGAATGGATTATGAACAAATGCGTTTTAAAAAAAAAAGAGTAAATCGATACATATACTTGTTAATAATTATTAAAAAGTGAATTCTGTTGTGTCATTAAGAGTTGGGCTGATTTTTTTAAATGGACTCAAAATGGCTGTGACTCCTTTAAGACTACATTTCCCAATCTGACTTGCTACATGCTCTATGCTAGTGGAAAAGAGAGAGAGCAAGCATTTGTATCGAAATGGGTGTATGTTGCATCTGCATTCGCTCCTGCAAGTTTTCACACAAGGGCCCAGTAGCACCCTCTGCCGGATAGTTTGAGAATTGCGCTGAGCTTTTTTTTTCCCTATCAGTGCATATGCTGTTTTGGGTCTGAATTTGTAGTTTAAAGCACTCGCTATAATGCTCACTTCACAATACAGCCCATCATGATATGGCTGAGATCTCAGATATAAACAACCTAAGGGCCATCAAAATCAATGTGAAGAGATCTACAGCCACAGAGCACAGAGGGGCTGAAAAAAGGGTGTGGCTTCACATAAAAATGTAACAATAATTACAAAGATGACCATCTTGGACTGACCCCAGCGTTGTTGTATTGTAATGACACATTTGGACTTTATAACAAATCTCAGTGTGTCCAGCTCCGTCCTATGATGGTGTGATAATGGTCAGCCAGATACAGCATTGTGCAGCATGAGAATATATTCATAGTCTAATACCAGACAGCAGTGGCCATTGTCATTTTAAAATGTCAGCCTGCCAGGAGCAAAGCTCTGCAGCAGAACGCAGCTCGCTCCCTGTGATCGGAAGAGCCCACACGCTTTTGAGTCATAACTGTGTATGTATATGCGTGTGTATGTGTGTGTGCTCCCCAGTTACTCCCCTGACTAGGCAGTGAGCCGCGCTACTGCAGATTTGGCTAGTGGAGGTAGTGAGAGCGCAGGAGAGCCATCTGTGAGAGTGTGGAGAGATGAAGAGGGAGGGAGGAGAGGGAGGATTAAGCTTGGAGAAGCAGAGGAAGCTCCATCCGCGCTTTAGAAGGTGTGAATAATGCCAGTCCTCTGTTTGTGCTATAGGTGAAAAGCATCTCATTCAGGCTCTTTTCATGATTCGAACATTGGCCCAAGGTTTTCTTCTCATCTGTTTGAGCATGAAGGCATCACACTGTAAGACCATATACTGTACATCTTAAAAAAAAACATTTAAAAACCCTTTCCTGATGATACTCCTGTTCAGACAGAAAATGTGTTATACAGTCAACTCCAGAATTATTGGCACACTTTAATAAACTGGACAAAAGCAATCATAAAAAAACCAATACATATATAATTATTAAAATGTTCCTCATAATTATTTGGAGAAATTGGTGACCATCAAATAGAAGTCATTCCTACAAGAGTTGATAATTTCCTATTATGCTGGTTATAAATATGAGGTTACACACATATAAAATTTCTTTGTCATCCATCAATGAGGGTAAAACCAAAGAGGTGTCAACTTAAATGAGGCAGAAGGTTGTTGACCTGCTCTGATTAGGAAATGGTTATAAAAAAAAAAATGTAGTCAATTGAAAATAAAAATAAATCACAATCAGGGTGATAAAGTTTGAAAAGCATGGAATAGTTGAAAATTTGCGTGGAAGAGGATGCATGAGCACACTGCCCCCACGTACAGTGAGGAGGATGGTAAGAGAGACAAAGAGGAAGCCAACGACTACAGTTTCAGAACTGCGCTGTTTAGTTCCACCTTGGTGTTTTCAGATTTCAAAATCTACTTTCATGACCAGAAGCCTTTTGGGAATAGTTCCACGAAAGAAGCTTTTCCTTATAGCAAGCCACAAAATGCAGTGCCTGAACTTGTTGTGACAAAAATTGAACCTTTTGGTCATACATACAATCATCACACTTGAAAAAAAGGACTGCACACAGTGAAAAGCCACTGATACCCATTGTCAAATGTGGTGGTGGATTGTTGATGCTTTGGAGCTGTTCTGCTGCTAGTGGTCCAGAGCTTCTTGTGAAAATCGATGGCATAATAAATTCCACAAAAAAAAATATCTGTCTACCTCTGCCAGAAGGCTGAAGCCTCACCTTGGTGCGCCTTTCCACAAGATAATGACCCTAAACACACATCAAAACCCACAGAGAAATGGCTGCTGTCAAGAAACTGTTCTGCATGAAAGAGTGGTCCACCATCCCTCAACAAGTGTTCAGCAATCTTGTTAAGCATTACAGAATGCTCTTATTCTTATATTATTCATGTCATGAACTGACAATATTTTGGGAACCTTTTTTTTGTTTTAAATTGTTACAAAACAGTGTAAAAATAAAAATATGCAGCTTACTCATTTGCATATGCCCCAAATATCATGTGTTGCATGTGTGATTTATTTTATATATTGCTTGTAGCTCATTTTCAGTGAGGGTGCCAATAATTCTGGAGTTCACTGTAAGTGTAAAGATTTATTTAGTGCAATAATTATGTCTTTACACAAAAATGACCCTGTACTGTTGTCAAGAAAAATCACAGACGTAATGGACATGTATGACTGCAGATAAAAACTACTCCATAGATCGAGACAAACTATCATCTAAAACATTTTATTACATGAAAATATTAACAATTGGCACTTAATGTACAGTATGAAAAATGAAACCTGCCCCAAAAAAAGAAAAATCAACCCATAAAATCACATTAATGTTAAATAACTGCAGTCTGTTTTCATGAAAACAAGACAGTCAAGGACAAACCAAGAGGACAACGTGCAGTCACTCTATAGAGGGAGGAAAGATGGACTTTAGAAAAATAAATCCATTTGTGAGACTGTAAAAGACCATAGGCCCTGAATAAGGAAAACATTGCTTTCAATGATTTCCACGGCTGACGACAACAGCAGTGCCAGCGTTCCAGCTGCAGCCAGCTTAAAGACTGAGGACTCCATTCATAAAAGATTAGCAGAATCAGCGATAACAGTCCACACCATTGCCAAAGCTTAGAGGAAAATGAAACTTCCAGAGGCCTTGTATAAAGAGGGAACACAGCTTAATTAAAACCTATCTGTGTTAAGGAAAAAAATCAAAATGATAACATATCTAATAAAGGATGGAAGCTAGTAGGAGTCAGTTAGCGTTACACTAAGAGGTCCCTGCTAATTTTCATTCCTGGTTAGCTATTTTAGTAGTTTTTAGGTGATGCATTTCTTTACAGTCAATGTGAATGGAAAGTCATAACATTTTCCTTCCGTACCACGACATTTCTGAGTGACTCTGAGTTTGATGGTGGGTGAAGCATTATTGGTTAATATTTTTCCCCGCCCACTGGTGCACAGTGACATTAGCAAGTCACTTCGCTGTGATTAAAGATAATGGGAAAACAACAATTTTATCTTTTGAATAGTATAGTATGATAGATCGTTCCTTGAACTAACAAGATAAGAAAGGTAAATTCTGATTTCAGGTTGACTTTAAGCAGCTTTCTTAGTCTGACAGCTGACCTAACAGCCACTGAGCCTGCACCAGACTTTGAGTAGGGAGGATGCATAAAATGACTGCTATAATTCTACATGATTTAGCAATCTGTTCAACAATCCATAAAAAACCCAATTCTCCTTTTGCTTTGCTACTGTGGAGTTGCTTCAAGTCACTGCTGCTAATGAATCTGTGGTAGACTCGGCTGATCAAAAGCAAAACTTACATCTATTTGGGCAAAGAAGCCTTTTACTTCACACTTCTTGCTGTAGAAGATGATATACTCCATTCTTTTATGTACTACACTCTTTAGGTGAGAAGTAGTTAAATAAATTAAAACGTTTCTTGAGTTAAGTAGAGTCATTTGATTGTGGTCGCTGCATGAAACCTCTTTACAACAAGGTTAAAGATTACAGTATATCAAATTTACAATGGCTGTACATTAGCGTTAGGATCTCTTTGGTAAAAGGTATAAGATTCTATTAGGGATTTCATTGAAATCTGATACACATTCATATAGTAGGCATTAAGAACTGAGGTTGCCTCATATGGAATCTTACGGGCATATTAATATCAAAGCAACAATATATTACTTTGTGCTGTAAATAAATAACAATGTGAAGGCCAAATGCTGAAATACAAACACAATTAAGAATTCAACAGTAAAAATGACGTCAGTGTTAAAATTGACATCTATGTAACTCAAGCTATTTAAATGCTGTCAAGAAATGAGCTCTCCAGAGAACAGAACTAGCTACTAAAATAACGCTTTAGACTAAATGTACCTGTAACTCCTAACCATGATGCACTGAAAAAACAAATGAAGTGTAAACAAACAAATGACAGAAAGTTTGTAAGCAAAGCAAAGTGAGAAAGAAAGAATAAATTTAAAAGAATTCTGTAGCTTTTGGCCTATAAGATTAGCTTCTTTAAAAAATATAAAATCTTTATCCTTCTCCACAATAACTTGAGGAGGAGCTGGAATGGGCTTTAGTATGTACATACTTAAAACTACCACAAGTGCAGGCTCAAACTAGCTCTATTTGGACCCATGGCTAATCTATGGAAGTTCATTCCTGCCAGACAGAAAAGAAAAAAGCTCTGATGGGCTTTTAGTATATTTTAGTATTTTTTTAGTATATTTATTTTTTCTTCTTCTCTCTTTCAGGTAGCAAAATAATAATAATAAAAAAGATCTGTATCTCAAAATGATGACTTTTCACCTACATTTACTGTGACAAGACCCAAATTTTGAGAAAGTAATTCCTTATTCTGGCATTTACAGCAAAACTTTGAGAGAATAAGTCAATATTTTGAGATACTAAGTTAGATTTTTGACATACTACTGCCAGAAACAGAGTGAGAAAAAAAATGTAGGTGATTTTTTTTTCTTCTTCTACCAGGCAGTAATGGGTTTCCATACTATCGTTTGCAAAACAAAGTGAATTTGGTGTACAAAAACCATGAGACCAATATCTGTGCAATTTAAAAGACCAGTGTCATCACTACCAGAATCGTGAGCTCATAACCATGACACATATGTCCGCAAAATACACGGAAATATAAGATTTTAGAGGCTTCTTGAAACCAGACAGTGTTGCTCTGAACACTATATGCTGTGGTTCCATGGCCCTCAGTGCTGAAGATCTGTTGGCCCACTGCATCTTTCTCCTGGAATGTTCTTCTATATACAAAGCGCACATGTGCAAGATGTCTCCACAAACCACCTGTGTTCGAAGGCCATTTAAAGGTAGGTACTCATCTGTCCATTTTGCCATCCGAAACCTGACATTTTGAGAGAGAGGGAAAAACCTATCTACATATCAAAATAAAAGACCTGTGGGGACAAGTGTGAAAAATAAGGCCTCCATGTTTTTGCATATGACGTCCAGGGGAACTGAACCAAGTCGTTCACAGCTCTCTTCCTGCTCTGTGATGGCAGCCTGGTTGGGCCGGTGGCTCTAACGCTACAGGGTGGCCAACACTCTGAGGAAGGAGATGACGAGAACAAAGAAAGATTGTCCTACTCCAAACACCAAGGCCTCCAAGGACATCATCCTCTTTCCTGCTGCCATATACACCCCTGCTATCGCTGCACCTGGAAGAAGCCACAAGGAACATGCATCATATATAACATGAAGTGCTGGGCAGTACTGATAAAATATTATAAAAAAAAAAATAAAAAATTCCCAGTGTATAATTTAAGTATGTGTTAATCAACTTCATGTTTTTGACAGTTTTTTCACAAGTTTTTTGACAGTTTTGTTCTGTAAAGTAAAACAGTAAAGTTTAACCACATAGAAACCAGATTTCCAGAAAGATAACTATTTTTTCAATTTCTATGTATTTTTAGAGTGTTTTCTCAAAACAATCTGAAGCACTCAGTAAATGGGGTGTTCCACTATTAACATCTTAAACCCTATTGCTGTATCATGTTTGTAGCAAGAATAATTAGGACCCCTGAATGGCGCAACTGTCTAAGTGTTGGGCAGATTTCTAGCCAACAGTCCTCTCTCTCTCGCTTAGCGTCATGCTAGCCAACATTAGCTGATGTAACAGAACTAGCAGTTAGCGTTCTCCTCCAAGTGTAGTGAGCTGCCCAATGACAATGATATAGTGGCAGTTTGAAAAGACATGGTGGCTAGCCTCGTGTCTTGGAGGAAGTATGTGCTAGCCTTCACCATCCCAACTTGGTAGCATCACTTGATAGGGGGAAACCTAACCAGTGGGTGGAAATGGACATGACTCAATTGGGGAGAAAACTGGGTAAAACCTGAACAGTTAACCAAGAGGTTAACTACATTTCTGTTATCTAATCAATACAATTATAACCAAAAAATCAATATTGTTTTGTGATATCAATACTAGTATAGCTATCACCCAGCACTAGTACCAGTACAAGCACTATATCGGTGTTTCCCCATCCTGGTCCTGAAGGCCCACTGCCTTGCCGCCTGGTTTGTAGAGTAGAATGACTTTTAAAAAGTATAAGACTCTGTGGGGGTCTTCCAACTGCATGGCTTCTCTGGTTTGCTCAAACCAGCTGCAAAGGTGTTCAGGCAGGTGGAACAAATGCCTGAGAAGGGTTTTTACTTTTTGGACCTGGACTGCCCACCTCTAGACTCTGTACAGCAAATTTGGTTTATGCTCTTCAATAGGTAGCTATAATATTGTATGTCCATACAGATCATGTACTCAACTTGTAAATGTACTTCTTTACAAACTAATTTTCATAAATGGTCTTTGTGAGAAAGTCTACAGACATACATTCACTAACAGTAATGCATGCACAGTCAGATTAAGCCTAATCTGGGCACTAATGAACCGACCAAGAGTTAGCCGTCCACCGTTTCTCTGTGGGAGATACTGTAGCTATGACAGACTAAAATACATACTAGTGAGGACTCCTCCAAACAGGGGGCCTATAATGCCCATAAGCAAGATGGCGATGGGCAAGAAGCGTGCCATCTTATGTCTGCGGAGAGTGGCAAGGGCCAGTAGAGCTGCGGGCACGTGGAACAGCAGCGAAGAGACGACAGCCCACAGGAACACACCATACCACATCTCTGAGAAAGAGGACAAAGGAAATAGATAACGTAAAAAACCAAACTCTTTACATGTAAAGAACATAACATGTATTTGTCATCATTGAACAGTAAATTAAGAACAAAGTAAATTGAAATATTTGTCGGGTTAGGAAATGTTCTTTTGAGCTGCTCAGGTTGCCGTGATGTTTTTCCACATTTTTTATAGTACAGTGACAGGGATTATTACTTATCCAGGACATTATTCATGTTTATTTTTAAATAATCTGTATTATTAAAAAATATTTATAGTTTATATAAATATAAAATCTTTAATATTTTTCATGCACATATCTGCCAATGGCGATACATAAACATTTATAAAATATAAATATGCATCTACCTGGAGAAATATAAGACTTTGCCATAGGCTTCAAATAGAGCAAAATGAATAAATACAGATATTTCAACACAGTAGCTCAGCGTCACCTAAGCATCGGTTTGAAATGTCAGCCTAATCTAAACATCTGTCTAGTGCCAATAATATTCTTAAGAAAATATCTGCTGATACTGATGATATTCCAATAGCAAAAAACATCTTGACTGAGGCTTAAAATCAAACTAGCATCAGCTGTTCCAGTGTTGAAGTTACCACACAGCTGTTGCACTGAATCTGTCAAAACCCAGTTCACAAAGAGCTGCTCTACTTTCACAAATGACCTTTGAGCAACTACAGAAAGTTACCTCCCTCATGTTCAGCAGATTCAAATTATAGAGCAGATTTTGCCCACATCCACATTCACACCCACTAATCTAGACACTAATCCCTTCTTATGCATATTGCTGTCCCATGAGAAACTTGCACAATGTTTATTGTGCAAGTTTGCTATGGGAAACTTGCACAATATATTTTGTCTTTTGTCTCTTGCAACAAAAATGGTGCAAACTTCCTGTGACAAACTTGCACAATTTTTTATTGCAAGACACAAAAAACAGCTGGCATGTAATTTGTAAGTACTGTGATAAACAGAGAATATGGCATCACTATTATTCAAAATAAAGTTAGCTAGCTATGTAAACTATCAGCAGCTTCTATCCTAGTTAACTAACCTATCTGTCTAAATAGCTATCTAGCTAGCTTAGCTAGCTAACACAACAGTTTTGCTATTAGCACCGCCTTTGAACATACGAGATTTACACACTTCAGAATTATACTGACAATTATTCATGGCAGTATATGATAAGACAATATACGTGAACTGGTAAAATTAAAGCCAAGTAACTCCATTTGACAAGTACTTCAACAAAACCACAACAAATCTAGCTTTATCTACCGCTGTATCTGCGGCTCTGCTAAGCTAACTACAGCAGACCCCGCTTATCTCCGCTAGCAGGCTAAGCTAGGAGGGTTAGCTAGGCTAGCGAGCCATCGTCCGTACATCTATCTAAAAGTTTAAAAAGCCCTTTAGCACACCTGAAAGCTTCATATTAGTCTAAGCGCGCACTGGGATAACGCAGTGAGAATAAACCAGAGCTTGCTTGTTGTGTGTTGAGAGAGGAGTTCACCTGAGAAATCGCACAGCGATGTGTCGTTCCCGCAGTTGGTGGCATTTTTCTTCCTGGGGACCAAATTCAAACTGAGAATTTGCTGCACAAATCCTATGTCGGGCAGGTTAGAGTCGTCCTGCATCTCTCATAAACTGAACACGGCGACCACGGGCGAAGTAACTCGAGATTCCGAATAACACCATTAGAAAATCGGGCAGTGCTCGCTTCCAGCGCAGATGGTGAAGCAGCAGCGTCCTCACTCCTCCATAAACACAAACTACTGAGTTCTGACGTCACATCGGCAGGTCTGACAGTAACGTCAGAGCCGGTTGAAGGAGAGGCTGCTCTGTTCCTCCTGCAAAACGCCAGAGGGCGCCGGCGAGCGAGTCATAAATAGCGTTTGAGAAATCCGGAACACGTTATTGTGGGAGGCAAATCCAGCCAAGAAAGAAATTAAAATTAAAACAATAAAATGTAAATGCAAACCTCTTTTTGCCATTTCTTTTTCCAAACATCTGCACAAATGTCCTGCCAAAATTGAAAATGAAATTCTGCATTTCATGAAGAAAAGCCAAAACCAAAGTGAAGCTTGGATTTTCTTTTCTCTATTAACTTTTTCATTTCAGATTTGGCCATGAAAAACCCAGAATAACGACTAAAATTAAATGACAAACAGCTGTTTTACATTTATTTTTATTTTTGTCACAAATGGCCCGTGCTCATGTGAAAAATGAAATTGCAAATGTAGGTGTTTCATTTCATTTTCAATTTTGGCAGGACATTTGCGCAGATGTTTGGAAAAAGAAATGGCAAAAAGAGGTTTGCATTTACATTTTATTGTTTTAATTTTAATTTCTTTTTCGGCTGGATTTGCCTCCCATACATTACTGAGTGGCAGCTCTTAATACAAATTCTGTGGTATGTTATCTAACAAGGGTTTGTCTTAGTTTTTTACACACCATCAGTAGCTGCACGTTTTGAATGACACATTTAAGTCTTGTGTTTAAGTTTTTTACACCATAACTGAAATGCCTTCTGAAAACTTCATGAGTTACAGTCATGAGTTACGTTCATGAGTTACATGCAATACCCTCACATGCAATACCATAGCTGCTACATTCTTTTATATCCACCTTTTTCATTTTACTTATTTTACTTTTTTATAATTTTATTTTAAATTGTTATAGTTTAATTTTCTATTTTTACTTTTTAAAATAATTTTAAATGATATAGTCGTTCTTTGAATATCTTGCATTTTATATTTTACATTAGCCTATAGTTTTGCTTTATTCCTACTTTAATCTTTTTGTTTATGCACCGTTAGGATTGCTACCCAATTTCGCTGTACCCTGTGCAATGACAATAAAGAATCTTGAATATTGAATCTTGAATCCTGAAAGACAAATCAGCGCTTCTCACTGGAATGTATTTTATTGTACTGGACAGGCCAGGGCAACAGTGCTTTTTGTCCCTTTGGGCGTGCCATAGAAGAGGGGCGACCTGCTGTAGATCTGTAGAAGTTCAGGATCGGCACAGAGAGACACAGACCGCTAGTTAATGCAGTGTCCACAGTGTTTACAGATCAAAGACAGTAATTCCGCGCAGGCTTTGTGTTCCTATTCAACCTTCCATGCCTTAGCTTACTAGCTCCACAGCTGGTGTTTTTATTTGTCGTTTAACTGTTGCGGCACATCATTTTGATGAAAATGATGAATTATTCTGACTACGACTCGGAGGATTATTCCTCTAATGAAGATGAAGACTACGTCCCCTCCGGTGAGAGACGCTTGTTTGGGTATCGTGCTAACGTTAGCAGGCTAGCTGAGTGACCTGCACACAGGATTGTTTTAACATCGTTTACTCTTTTTGTGTTTATCCAGCTAGTTGTATTTTGCACAGTAACATAACACGAAACAAGAGGGTTATAGAGACAAATACTGACTGTGAAAACTACGCTTTTCAACGTTAACAGGGTTTATTGAACTATTGAGCTGGTTACACAGTTGTCTGACTCGGTGTGTAAGTTAACATTTCATAGATATTTTTCCTGTTTAGCGTTTCGCGAGACACTTTGCTGTTTACCTGCTCAGTGAGCATTTTTGTAGTCTGACAAATGCTGAATTAAACCAACTCGCTTTATTGTAAACCAACTCGGATGTTATTGTAAATTAAAATGCAGTGATGCTGGGAGCCTAAACTAAAGGTGGGCGATGTGGCAAAAAAATAACGATACTCGCTACATTTCCACAATGAATGATATAAATCACGGTTTTTACTTTTATGAGGTTTGAAGAAATTTAATTTAGAAAAGATTCAAAAACGCCCCAGTACAAAACACCAAAACAGTGCAATCAGATTTATTAAGCATTTCTCATACTGTATTGCACTAAATCTAATGAAAGAGGACTGTTTATGTCCTATTTGTAAGGAAACAAGCAGCTGGTTAGTGAAACACTGTGACATATTTTCTAATAATAAGAACACCAATTATGATAATAATAACAATAACCATAATAGCAATTAAATGTTGTCTTGTTGCCCACCTCTATCCTAAACCTCTAGCTTTAGTGGAAATAAAAGTACCTTGAGTACAATTGCAAAAGTGCCAGGTCAAAAAACTACCTTGCAGAAAAAAAGTTTCCTTTGGTTCCTGGTGGTCCAGTAGTCACTAATGGTTTTTTGTTCTCCAGACAGGTTGATCTCACAGTGTAAATGATTCTAATGGTTTAACATGTGTTTTAAGACTGAGTCCAGATACATTTGATATTTTACTAAAGGTGTCCTACAGGAAACTAATGGTCACTAATAGTAACTACTAAGCCAATTCCCATTAGAAAGCAAACAATCAGGTTTAAATCCTAGTGATTCTCATGGTTTTTTTCAGCAGAGACAGCAGATGAGGTCCTTATAGAGCTGCAGTGAATGGCATAGAGGCATTGATGGGTATCATTATCAGCACAGAATGGTGAATCTGATATTGGAGTGAAAAACTGAATGAATCCGGTCCAATCCTATAACAAATGTATCCTGAAGCATCACTCACTGTGGTGTTTTAGGCTGTGTGTTTCTTCCTGTGGGCTAGTAGAGTGTTTGAATATTTTCAGCATGAGGTCCTTCTTTCAGATGCTCATCTTAACTGAAGTGCTTCATTTAAAAACAGCTCAATTTAAAGCTTACTAGTTTTTAAATTAGAAATATCAGATCAGCATCAGTACATGCCAGTATTGGTAATGGAAAAGAAACAGTGGTATTGTGCCATCTCTAAGTGGAAGTAATTATGACCTGAAACTACTCAGAAAAGTAAAATTTTAAAATGTTGCTTGAGTATATATAATTAAGAAATTGTACTACCCACCTTACCTAAAATGTCTTCCTTTTTTTCCTCTACCTGGTCAGATGACAACCTGAGTGAGGATGACATTAATGAGTGTGAGAAGGAAGATGGCCTGGAAGGAGAGGAACAGAACGAACCACGAACCGACCATGTGAAGAAGAAAAAGAAGTCAAGTAAAGGGTTGTCTGTAAGGTGGGATAATACTTTTGCTATAAAATGTGTCTGTTCAGATGTTTGTTACTGTTATGATTATGTCATATTGACTGTTTCTGTATTACGTTGTGGTGAATATTCTGTAAAGGAAAAAGGTTTTAACAGATTGTTGTGGGACAGGGCAGAAGACAAACTGAGGAACACTACCAGACAAGAGTTGTTAAGCACGTTTAGGTTTAGGTCTCCTATCCAGTTTACTACCACCTATACCCCCCTCTTAAAATTATTCACAAATATTGGCATATTCTTCCGTTCGATCCAGCTTTGGGGTAAACATTTCAAATGACCTTTACCATCTTTACCATTTCGCAGATCTAAAAACATTAAAAATTGGTTCTAAAAGCAGACATCAGTCAGGGTTGTTTAAACAAGGAGAACTATGCAGATCACTTTTGGGAATTACAAATGTGGGAATTGTGTTCAGTGTCATCACACAAAATGAATGAGAGATTTTCCACATCCTAGGACAGGTCAGCACATGCAGATTAAAAGTGTTAATTGCAACTTATGTAATATGGTTAATGCTGTTAATTGCCCATGTGGTTTGTTATATGTAGTGGAAACATCCACTGCATTTGTGAGCATCATAGTGCAATACAGAGTGTTGATGTCAGCAATGCTGTAGCACAGCATTTTAAAGGTGGGGTCAATTGAGAATTTTTATATTTTGGTATAGAACAAGTGGTTGTGGAACATGGTGGAGAACAGTTTTGGAAATACCATCTAGATACACTGTCTCTAAAAGGACTCAACCTTAAAATAGATTATACAGTGTTCTTTTGAAAGCAATATGCTGACTCGTCTTGTTTATGTGAATACAAATGCTGAAATGTAACTTTTGAGTCTTTATGCTCTCTCTGTGCTTAGGCCACTAGATGGGGCAGATGAGGAGATGAGTCTGCTCCTATAATAAGGAGGCCACACCTGTATTCAATTTGAGAACTATATTTTTTTTCAATGGTGTCCTTTTGTGTTGTTTTTGGCATCTGATGAAAGTCCTGTGTGTAGGCCGAAACATTGTGTTTTTAACCCAATACAGTTACTCTTTTGCTGAGGATAGAGTGAGTGTTGCGCTGTTTCACCTGAGAAATGTTTTTGATTTTTAGTAGCATGTCAACTATAGTTGTTAAAAGCACCCTTTTTCTTTATCTTGTTTCCAATATTCTGTAAAGGAAAAGGAAAAAAGGAGGGCTTAAGCTGGAAGAAGGTGATGAGGATGGAAGCCACAAACAGGAAAAAGAAGTAGAAGAAGAAGAAGGAGAAAAGGCGAAAGAAGATGTGTCAAAGTCTGTAGAGAATGAAGAGAAGCAGAAAAAGAAAGCAGACGATCTTTGGGCTAGTTTTTTAAAGGATGTTGGTCCCAGACCTTTAGCTCAGAGCCCTGCCTCCGAACAGGTGTTTACTCTTACAAATAACTGTCAAAAACTGAACAGACTACCATCCCTGTAAAAAAAGTTCTGAATCCTAAAAAGAGAGTTAAAGAGTTTGGATAGAATATTTTTGAAGCTCAAAGATTAAGCAGAGATGCCTTTCCACACACGGTCCTCAACGTGCTCATAGCATTCTAGCCACCAGCCTACTAAATAGCGCTAATTGACCGTCTCTATTGTAAATAAAAGCAAACCAAAAAGGCTGAATAATTCAATAAAAATTCTGTGAATTATACATGTGCCTACTCTTAAAATAAGCATTGCACTTAATTTAAAAAGTCTTAAAAAAGATGCAGTTCACCGCCAACCAGGTGTAGTGGATAAATGTACAAAAGCACATAGTTACAATTCACAGATGTACACAAATGCATGTTTTTACTCTTCAGCAGCCTTTTGAACGCAGCAGTTGCAATAATAAGCAAGAATTTGTGTTTATGTTGAGGTGACACTGCTGTTTCAAGAAAGCCTTTCCTTATCTTCTTACATAAAGTGAAAATTGACTGGTCTCTTTCTGCATTATGTAGATTTAAGACTGCATTGTTTTTGATATTTCCATGTTTATTTTGTTAGAGTTGTTCATGACACTGTTATTGAGCATTTTCTTTTGTCTTGCCTGTAGAGCATGGCCATGACCAGCTCTGATGAACCCAGTAAAAACACCACAGAATCTTCTGAGCAAGAACCGAAACCTAAAGAGCCCTCTAGAATCACAATAACAAAAGTCTTCGACTTTGCTGGAGAAGAGGTCCGGTAAGTCTTACAGGAAGGCTGTACTGCTGCAATGCTTATTTCACTCAGGAGGTGGCAGTATAGTATTGCCATTGATTTAAACAGATGACGTCTAAGACCCTGCTGAACACTTAATGAAGAAAAAAGATGCTTTTGTTAGCCTGTAAGGATGGTTTTGGTATTTATATAATGTGTTTTTTATACTTTTTTTCATTTACAATATAATTTTCCTATTTATAGTGGAATTGTTTCATTTATAATCACATTCTTTTCCTGATTAGGTTACGTGAGGTGTGTCAGGTTTTCTGCTGAACTGTGTGGACTTGGAAAATAATGTAGTGTTTATGCATGGGTGAGAAAAAGGTTAAGCGCTTGTGAGAACAGAAAGGATATTTAGTATAGTGTGTTTTGGTATGACAGGCTTATCAGGAAAGTTAATGTTTAATTTGTATTAGATTACGTATTTATAAAATAATGAAACAAATTTTCACTATATATTTTGAATAAAACCAAAACAAGGCACTCAGTTCTTAATTGGATTTGCCACTGACAAGGAAACACGTCCCTTTTCCCGTTGTGTTTTTATGAGCTTAGTTGGTTATAGTAGCCTTTACTGATAGATAGCAGTTCTGAGGGCTAACATTAGCAATGTAAGCTCATAAAATTTTACCTGAAACTGACAAATTGCGATGATAAAATGAATCGATTATAAGCCACTATTAAAGCTTTTTGCCCACCATATCGAGGTTGTGCCCATTTGAGGTTGGGCCTGTTGTAAAAATATCATGTTGACCTCTGATCTAGGAAATGTGATTCAGCTGGCGATTTGTCGGTGTTTGTCCTGTCACCACAGGGTCACTAAAGAGGTGGACGCGAATTCACGAGAAGCCAAAAGTTTCCTGAAAAAGGAGGAGAAGGTGGAGGAGATGCAGGAGCAGCAGTCCCTCTCTATAGCCCCTTCATCACTCACTCCTGGACCCAG